GTGTGCCTGGCTTTCCTGGGAGGTTAGGGAGCCAAAGGGGTCTTTAAGCAGAGAAGTGGCTTTAGGGGCTTGGATCTGGCAGCCACAGAGTGGGGAGGGTAGAGGAGGGCGAGCTCTGGCCTGTTAAGAGACCTGTGCAGTCAGCAGGTCAGCAGGCCCTGCCCTCAGGCAGTGGCCCTGAGCATGGCCTGAGGAGGCTGATTCAGAATACTGGAAGTCTTCTGGGCCTGTAAGTCCAGCAGACCTGGATCCAGATCTTGGCTGTGCCCTGTACTGGCTTGTGAAACCCAGTGCCTGTGTGTGTTAGTTTCCCGACCAGTGCCACGAAGTGCATGTCTTGTGTCTCACGGGTTGTGGGAGAATATTGAGTATACCTTCTGAGAGCCACCTCCTCTTCTGAGACTGCATTTTTCTACCCCGTGGAGTGCCCAGGGAAGGAAGCACCATGATCATCAGTATTTGACACCCACAGAAATGAAGTTCAGAGAAGTTATAAAACTTGCCCGAGTCAGGTCTGTCAGAGAGAGAGCATGGCCCACTTTTGAGCCACTCTGCTTAAAGTCCCATGGATACAGAATGGCTGGCTGGGGAGGGAGAGCGAGCAGCCTGTGAAGAGGGGACAGCAGATCTGAGACCCGGTTTGTGAGGAGGTGCCAGGCATCTTAGGAAGAGAAGGGCAGAGCCCACTGGGAAGGCGATTTCTGGGTCGGGTAGGAAGATCTGTGTGCCTGAAGGACAGTGAAACAACGAGAGGAGGAGAGTGGGAGGGATCCAATGCCCACCCTGAGGGGTGCTCAGGGCCGAGGTTTTATTTGAAGATGCCTCTGGAGATGTCCCCGGAGATGGGACCTGGTAGCAGCTTTCAAGGAATCACTCTGGTCGTCTGTGGAGGAGACTGTAGACCACTTAGGAGACCTCTTCCAGGGCCTGAGGAGGAGTGCTGGTGTCGGGCACTGCCGTCAGGCTCAGGGCGATGGGAAGGAGCAGACAGGGTTTCGAATGGAGCTGACTGGAACTGGTAGTGGCCTGGATGTGAGGAGGGTCAGCAGTCAGAGGTGCAAGCTGCAGTTTTCGGTTCTGTGCTGAGGAATGAGTAGTGTCGTGTACTCAGAAGGGAAGGTTGTTGGAAACAGAGCAGGGTCCACGGCGATGTTCTTCTGGACACGTGCAGAGTATGTAGTACTTCCAGATGGCACTGTCCAGCAGGCACTCGGCTACATGAGTCCAGGCAGAGCTTGGGAGCAGTCTGGGCTAAGGACAGAAACATAGGCATCATTGGCATGTAGGAGTTTGAGATGTGTGGGAGAAGAGAGGCACTGGAGACCCTGCAAAGGTTCAGCGGTTTGCTACAACACTCAGTCTTCAAAATGGAGATACGACATCATATCTAACTGAGTACATTCGTCACCGTTGGCGCTCTGGTCTTTGGCAGGGTGCTTTCATTCTCATGGGACTGTGGAGTTTGTCCATGTATGTGCTCATATGTTCTCGTGGTGAGACCCAGTACTTCCCGGGATGCTGGCCAGGCCTCGCCAGAGCACACCTTGGCCATTCACTTATTAGGACAGGGCTGGCCCAAGTCCTGAGGAAGAGCTGGAGTGCTTTACTATGCATAGTAAAGCCAGTTCACTCACATTAGTTCTGATTGTGTAAAACTTAAGTATACCTCTAAAATGTTTCATTATTTCCAAATACACAGTTAAATTGCATTTGGTAAACTTTATATTCAATAATGACTTCATTTTTTTAAGTCAGCATTTTTTCTTATATAAATCTAACTTTTTTCTGCATTTGGGTTAAGTGTCATATGTTAATCTATGTATGGGTGGGCTGATTTTGAATTTATGCTTTAGGAATTTTTTGGGGGGGTACCAGGGATTGAACTTGGGTCTTTGTATTTCATTTCTTTTGTTGCCACGATATTCCACCCTCTGCTCCTGTTGGTAAGCTCCCTGGAATGTCCCAGTGCAGGAAAGGGATATAGAACTCTTCTTTTACTTTGCACAAGACATTTTATTTAAATTATTTTGTGTCCTCTAGCTTGTTTCCAAATTCACATATCTGAAAGTAAAGAATGTAGAAAGCTAAAGCTAAAATTAAAGTTGCTTTAGATTTTCATACCAGGGACTCAGTTTCATAGGATAACATGAACTAGATTTAAGTATGCCATGTTTCCTTCCACTGTGTGTGTGTATGTATTACACATGTACACATGTGCAGTTTAGGAAGATGCAATGCACTAATGAGAGACTAAGAACTGAACTTTTAGGTATGGTTATGGCAGTGGGAAAAGGGTGAGCATAGAAGGGAGGAGAGACATGAAACCTCGCAGCTTACCCCATTGATTTGTACACCTGATGTGTGTTAGTAATCATCATAATAAAAATCAACTGAAAGAAAAGTGGCACAGGACTTGGCAGGTAGTATTCTCAAATGTCAGCTGGTTGTCCTTGTGATTGTTATCAATTGCAAGTGATCTTAAGTCATTGAGGAGATAGAAGTTTAGATCCCTAGCCCCTTACAGAATAGAATGTCCCTTATCCTTTTAGTTTTACTGTCTCACAAAAGTATCAGAGGAACTAGAGCAAAAAAAGAAGAGTTTTTTATGTAAGCACCAAATTCGGACTCCTATTACTTCAAAAGAGCTGTACACTTCATTTTTTTAATTGCCTTATTTTAAAGGAGTGATCTAGTCCCCAGAACTATCTGATATCTGATAAAGTGATACATTTCAAACAGTCTAGCTTGTCATTGAGGACTGTAAGGAACTACACAAACCAGCATATCCTAGAGGACTGAAACTGAATGAAGAGTATATATTTAAAGTGGTTTTAACTGTTCTTTAATAAAACTGATTTGAGTTTAATTTTATTAATGGAATTGGTTATTGAGTATTTATAGACATGTACTTTAACTGTAAATTACAGATGTAACACCACCTTTTATATTGGATTTTTCCTTTTGAATAATTCTGTAGACATTTAGCACAGAGATATAATGGAACTTGGGATAAATTACTCTAAGTTTTTATTTTTGAGAATGAAATGTCATGTCAAAAAACAGCCGCCATGGATCAGGGATTTCGCTCAGTGGTTCTGCTTCCTGCTTTGCAAGCTCAAGGTCCCGATTTCGATCCCCAGCACCAAAAAGAAAAGAAAACAAAAAATAGCTGCCATAGGAAATGGCTTATTTTATGCCTACTGTTGCATGGAATATAACCTTTCCCCTTCCCCTTCTCCACACGTCCTGTATTTAGGTCAGTGTGGGCATGCTTTCAAGGAAAATAGCACATCGCTTGGCTCTTACTATTTATTAAATAATTAAGCTTACTCATAGGAATAAGAAATCTACCAGAAGCTACTTCGGTTATCTAATTGTTTTATGCAGTTAGAGCAGTTCACCAGAGTTGTAGTCTGGGTGGAATGTCTTCTCTTCCAGGAGGGCCAACCCAAGGCATCATGAATGCATCAGAATAGAATCCCACCTGCTGACCTTAGACAAAACACTTCATCTCCTTGTGAGTCAGTTTTCTCTTTGCTGGAGTATAGACAGAGGTGACTGTGCAGGCTGTGGTTAGGACAGAATGAGGTAGTAGCAGTAGAAACTCCTCAGCGGTGCTGCAGCTGCATCCCAGAAGGACGTTGGATCCTGGTGTCTTTGAGATTATAGGTAGCTATCCCTACAATTTGGTGTAGTGGAAATTGTAGATATTAGACCAGTAATTTGAAATTTTAGAGATTATCATCACTTGCTATCTTCTTAGGGCATTTTCTTTCTTTTAACCATCAGGATCACCCAAGCTAGAGAAAGTAAAATAAAATCTTTGTGAAATAAAGCAGATGCTAACCGGTTGCTTGGGGTTTTTTTCCCCCTTCCTTAAACATGGCATTTGGTCTACTAAAACATTAGTTGAATTGAAAGGAGCTAACTATTTATTGCAGATATTCTAAATAGTGCAAGTAGTGTAAAATATTTTTTTTAAATCACTAATTTTGACATATGTAAAGTTTAAACTTTTAGCTCTGTTCCTTGGATTTTGGTTTTTTGAGACAGGGTCTCACAATGTAGGGCAGGCTGGCCTGGAACTGACTATATAGCCCAAGCTGGCCTCGAACTCTGCAGTCCTCTGGCTTCAGTCTCCTGGGTGCTGGGATTGCAGCCCAGCTGTTCCCTGGATTTTATTTATTTATTTTGCAACAGGGTCTCGCTAAATTGCTCAGACATGTGGTTCTCTGCCTCAGCCCCACAGAGTGCTGCTGTTACAGGCTGCACCACCACTCAGGCTGGCTCTAGATTGTTTCTAATGATCATTCAGGGCATGGTTGGGACTTGAGTTACTTTTGGTTTTCATGTATACAGATAGTGTAGTTTCACTTTTACATTTTAAATTGATGCATCTGCTGACAACAAACTGGATCAAAGTGTGAAATGGTGAGTCCATGCTGAAGACTCTATGCAGTGGTCAGTTATGTAAGCAAAAGGACTAGGGGTTGTAGTGACCTGGAAAAAAGCTTCAAAATATTGTTCTTTGTGTTACATGCTGGTAAGCCCGCAATTTTTCTGTGCAATGATGTCTGTGCTCCTTTTCTTACTGGCCCATAGGACCCAGAGACCAGATGACTGGAACAGAATTGGTAACTAACAACTAAAATGTTAGGGATACTGCTTTGTGAATTTTACCTTCCTGTAACTTTTGGCAGAGCTCATCTGAAGTAGTTTTACTGTGCATATATACCCATTCTTTGTATTTTTATAGCTTTGTCTGTGACACGCCATCGTAATTTTTGGTGCATTTCTTTTTAACTCTTTGGAAGGTCTTTCTGTTGGCCTCCTTTGATTTCCCTCCTCACCATGGTGTGCCGCCTCAGATGCTCCTGAACGGGAGTGGCACTTACCCTGTGTGCTTTATAAAAAGGCAGCTCCTTTAGAAAGGCTATCTTCCAGACGGTTCCATCAGTCTGGACCCGGTGAGTGAGTGATGCTCTGTTTCTTTGTTGCAGACATGCCAATATTTGGTCTCTGTCCAGCCCATGACGATTTCTACTTGGTGGTGTGTAACGACTGTAATCAGGTTGTCAAACCGCAGGCATTTCAATCACATTATGGTAAGTGCTTAACCATTTAAAAACAGTCACTAGAAGGTAAAAAGTAAAGCAGGACTGAATTGAAGGCTGGTGATTGCCCAGGGAGGACATAATCTCCCCCTCCAAGAAATAGGCTTTCGAATGCATAGAATGTGCTAATACCTGTCAGTTGTTGAATATTTTCTGACTTTTATTGAAAAATGATTCACCTTTTCTGATTTGTAATTGAAGTTAGGGGAAGTGTATTTTATAAAATATGTCATGAAGTACTCTATCAATATAGTTACAGACTTGCTTCCTTCTTAAGCCCCTGATTGTGAATTTAGTGAATTTAAAAAATTGTTTGAGCATGCCATATAGAGGCCTAGAGTAATGGCTTTTTGTGCTCCCTCAGGGGTGTGATTTTGAAAGCTTCAGGTTGTTTCCTCATTGCTCTTCGAAATGCAAGCCTGAAACAATAACAATGGACTCTTCTTTGGGTAGCGTGCCTGAAGAAAGTTATCTCAGAAGGCAGCATTGGGACTGAGGCCTAATGAGACAGAACCACCAGGGCAGTGATCTGGAGTGAGAGCTTGCCATTCAGAGGGAAGCCGTGGTAAAGGAAGGTAGAACTGCAAGAATCCTGCTTGAGGAGGCCAGAGCCTCATTCCCAGGCCTATGAGAGAAGCAGCATGGAGCACGGGAGGGTTTCATATGAGGGAGCAGTGCAGGCCCATCTGGTCAGTTAGCTGAGAAAGGAGCTTGAGAGAGAAAGAGAGGCAGCGGACTGAGACTGGAGTAGGACCGCAGAGCTGGGCACACTGTGCAGCTGGGAGGTACACAGGCTCACTTTGGTGTCTCAAACCATCGTGATCAGCGGCCCAGCGTCTCCCCCAGGGAATGCGTCTTGCTTTTAATCCTAGAAAGCTTCTGTGAGGTGCTGCTTCTGTGTATTTCCCGGGGAAGAGCACTAGAGTGAGTGCAAGAATGCCTCTTCCTGCCTGAGACCTAAGAGCCACCTTGGGGAGCTACCAGATATGTGAGAGTTAAGGATTTTGCAGCTAGAGTAGGCTGGATGTCAGGTTATACCTGTAAGAACTACATGTTACTTTGTGTTTTGGGTTTTGTGTTTTTTTCTTTTTTCACCTTGAGCAAGTTATCCAGTTCTGGTTTTCTTCGTGGTGGTGCAAGGATGATAATACCCCGATAGATTCCCACTGAGGGTCAAATGTAGTAACCGGTAAAGCCCTTAGTACGAAGCCTAGCGCATACAAGACAAGAGAAGAGGGGACAGAAGGTAGTGGAAGGGGATAACTCTGGACAGGAAAGTGCATGAAATCGTAAAACAGCCCAAGGCCCTAAGAATAAGGAGGAGCACACAGTACTTCCCACTGAGTAACCCAGAGGAGTCTTCTTAAAGGAAGTCTCGTGTTAGCCTTTCAGCATTGAAATTAGTTATCTTTCCCATGGCAGATTTTCCCTCAGTCTTTAACAACAGGCTGTATGCCCATTGTAGAAAATGCAGAGAATATTTTACTGATGATCTGTAATCCTCTAAAATGGGAAGTATGTTAATGGAAATTGGGCTGCCACGTATGGCTGCACAGTTTGTGCACTGAAAGACCATGTTTGGTGGCCCAGGGTGGCAGGGGTAAGTACACAGAGCTTCCCTGGCAGAGCTGAGGTGCACGTGGGATGAGTCACGAAGAGGCCTTGTCTCCCAGCAAAGTCCCCTGCCCTGCAAGGTCAGACCGGGAGCAGTGTGACTCAGTGGAGCTTCTGAGACCTGCCAGGTAGAGTGTGTGTGGGGAGGGAATCCAGAGAGGAGACCCTGGGGTGTTACCCCTCTCTGGACTTCCTTAGCAGAAAGAGACCCTCTTTGTCACCACTTTGAGGAGGGCATTACACAGTGGAGACTGCGCTTTTCAGTGGAGGCTTTTAAAATTCTCCAGTTTCCCTCTAGAATGTCACTCTCCAAGTGGGGAAAGTGTCTTCAAATTGTATTTCTATCTTTCCTGTCAATCCCTAGCACAGTGTGACCCACAGAACCCCTGGGTGAGGGGTGGAGGCTCCTGGTGAGGAGAAACATTAAAGAGGAAGAGAAGAGAGTTGTAGCAAGAAGACAGGTCCTGCCCAGAGGGTTCTGCTGGGAGGGTGGGCGGGGCCCTGGCGGGGCTAATCAGGATTAGATAGGCCCTGGCGGGGCGCTGAGTAGCTGAGTACTGGGGACTAGCACCTGGAGGGACTGTCACCTGGCGGGAAGGAGGTAGGCAGAGTCCCAGGGCCAAGCACCACTCTCAGTGCTGCCCCTCTCTCTCCTATTTTTGAGAACTGGTTGCAATGAGGAAGTGTATTTTATGGAAACTTTATTGTTTTGGTTGAAATTCCAGAAGGGCAGTTCTTGCATCTCTTTTTCTATAGGTAATAACAACACAAAACATTTTCAAATTTAGAATCTTTGAGTAGCTGTTATTTAAGATACCAGAAGCTGCTTGACTTTCTGTCCCTGTGAGCTCACTGTAGTTTGAAAATATCAGAATTCAAAATTGCACTGAATCCATCTAACCTACCAAAGCTTCCTCAGCACCGTTTGCTAAGAGCACTGTTTGCCTTGTCCTCACAGGGCTGACCTGCTGCTGTGGCTGTGCTCCCTGCCACTGCCCAGCCTCTCAGGAGAGGATGGTGGGACCCATCACCAGCCCAGGAAATAGCAGAATTCAGAATTTACAGTTCTGTCCCGTCTACACTGAATTCGTATTGCTTTCGTTATAAAGCAAAACAGTGGTTAAGTTGAGCTCCATTGTAAGTCAGGAGCTGTCTGTTTTAAGAACACCTACCTGGCAAGGAAGAGATTGTATTTTCTTATGTTTTGGTGAAAACGTGTGCACAGTCTTTTATTAATCCAGGTGTTGCTGGCTTTCTCTGTGACTTACAAACAAATGAGCAGTCACTACATAATCCAGCAGGCAGTTCCTTTAAGAATATTGTTGCCAGGCCAGGAGAGCAGGCGACAGTGTGTGCGCAGCTTGTACGTTAGTGTTGGAGTAAGGTTATTGTGTCTTGGTGAGCAGCTTATTGTCCACAGAAGCAGGGGACTGTGTGCTTTTTTGCTAGCAAACCACCTTTTTAGGAAGTAATGATTTTTTATTTAGAGAATACTTTATTAGTTTCTGTGAAACCCATATCGATGAGACCTTACATATCTAATACAGTGTGTTACCCCTGTACAAATGGAAAAAATGTTAAGTTTAACATTTCTGGACCAATATAGCTGTTAATTTCTGTACAATGCCAACTCAACACAGTAAACTGGGATTTTTTTTTGCAAAGTTGACAGCACAATTACAGTCACTACTGCGTATCATAAAGCAGGTCCTGGGAAGTAATGATTAACCAGGTTTCCACGTCCTCCTCTGGGACTGTGGTACTGTTTCAGCATTTCCAGGTTTCATGCTCGATTGCATTCATAGTATAGCCGGCTTACTTTCTTGGAATATACATACTAAGCTCCGTGTTTTCTTGGTGTTTTCCTATTTTGAAATACTCCAGCATGCGTTATATTTCTGAAGCCCAGCCTCGGTTACTCAGTGTTTTAAGAGCAAGATGTTTCTTGCTGATAATTGTAAGTTTAGAAATACGGTTGGAATCTGTGGGTCCAGAAATGTGCTGTGCATCTGAATCAGGGAGCTCTCTACAGGCAGCTTCCCAGACTTACTCCAGTGGTGCCCCGTCAGATCACCAGGACAGAGATCCCAGTGCATGGTGACTCGCAAGTGGCCTCAGATACTGTCCACTCGTGAGGGGCTGGTGGGGTGAGTGACATGAATTGTGTCTCCGATGTGGCCCATCTTGCAGTGATAGCAGGAAAGGAGGTTCCCTATTTAAAAAAAACAAACAAACTAGTCTTTAAATTCTTGCATGATGTGCCAGCAGTGTCGCATCAACTGATTCATATCCATATCCATATCCATTTGGTTTTTTGAAACAGGGCCTCACTGCGTAGTCCAGGCTGGCCTCAAACTCAATCCAGGTGCTGGGATTACAGGCGTGTGCCACCACACCCAGCCGGCATTAATTGTTTAAAAAGTTTTAAGTCTGAAGGCAGGGCTGAGATGTGGGCCAGAAGCACTGTTCTTTTGAAGTGATGTTAGTATTGATCCTTTGTTACCACACAGCATAAACGATGTGGTTCTATTACACATTCACTCAGTTCTGAACAGTGGGGATAGTGTGTGGTTGGGGCCCTTGGGGAGCCCGCGGGTTGTACACCGAGGGTCTGGCAGAGGTCCCTCTAGCCTGCACACTTGCCCTGCCCTATGCCCTGCTGCTTCACCATGTGTGAATGCAAAATACCCTAGGTTTTCACTGTTAGGCAGACACAGGAGTGATCTCACTTAGAGGAAGTAGATGAGAAATGTTAATTCAGCCTGGACAGATAACACATTTAGAATCTTCCTAATTAAAACCCTGCTAAAATATCAGCTGTTGAAGTATTTTTTTTAGATTAGCTGGGCTATACTACGTGTTAATCAGCTTCCAAGCAAGGGTACGGTAGTGACATGTAGCTCAGCCGTCTTTTCCCAAAGTTAGTCAGGCTCTAGCTTTAAAATGTTCTGACAATTCCACATTTTTTAAAAAAAAATCAAACCAGTTTTACCTAAATAAATCTATTTACAAAGAAAAGCTTATCAGGCTGGATGTGGTGGTGCATGCCAGGAATCCCAGCGCTCAGAAGGCTGAGGTAGGAGGATTGCTGTGAGAGGGTTTCAGTGATTTCCAGACCAGCCTGGGCTACATAGAGTTCAAGGCCAGACTGAACAGTATAGCGAGACCCTATTTTAAAACACCAGAAAAGAAAAGAAAAAAAAAAAAAACTTATCAGAACAAGAAAGGGTTTATCATAGTGTTGTTTACTCTAAAAGGTGTAAGTATAAAGAAATGTTTGTAGTGGAAAGCCCTGTCATGCCCTGGTGGTGCTGGCTCATTCATGGCTTTGACTTCATGTTCCTTGATGTACATTAAAGTGGTTTGGATTCTTTTAG